GGTCTTTGGGAGGTAATTGGCAGCAGGCGGTCTCTCAAGTACCCAGGTCCAATACCATGAAGGGCTTTATAAGTGACGACTAGCACCTTGAAGCAGGTATGAGGGTAACATGTATAAATATCTGAGTTAAAATACTTGAGTTAATATGAATTATGCTTGATGACTGTGGAAGAGATGCACGAAAGTCTTTAGTAACCAACTGATACACTTTCTACCGTATGTAAAAAAGGAAAATTTTATGTGTTCTGTTTGTTTTGAAAATTAAAAATAAAAAAAAACTTTAAAAAAGAGTATCAAAGAGATACAACATTGTTTCTCATCTTCTTTTCATTAACAACAGAACGCTCAGATGTAATTGTAATCTGCGGCATGGAACATAAGCCTGATATTACCTTTTCTGCTCAGTGAACACAATCCACACACCCAACAAACAATTGTTTGCAAGTTTTGAAACCTGCCCTGGGGAAAGACTTTCCCTCCTGTCTATTTGATTCTTTTCCTCTGGGATTCCCTGATTATCTCCTCCAGCGCTAAGCCTGGTTTCCCAGCGGAAGCAGAACTGGGAAATTAGAATTTGCAGGTGTTAAAGGAGGGAACCCAGATAAAATGAAATTTGTTCTGTGGGGCGGACTTTCACGCAAGAGAACAGCAAAGATCGGGGATGTGCACTCCGATCCGGCCCCAATTTGCAAGCCGTTGCAACGCACAATGTTTTGTTTTTTTTTAATTTCCTCTGCACGAGCCCGGAAAGGAGGCAGGAACTTACCTGGGTGGCCATCTTGCCGTAATCGATCCATCGCAGGGTGGCAAAATTGGTGGATTCTGCGCAGTTGAATCCGTGGTTGAACCCAGCGTGGTAGCCGTAAGGAAAAGTAATCATGAATTCTCCAGCTTCCTGGGTGATCTGAAAAGAGAGAAGGGAAGAAATTTATGTTCCAAGAGGGCAGGAAGCAAGGAGAACAAGGTTTAAAGTAAACCAAATTAAATGTTCAGTCACCCTGCTTTCAAAGAGCAGCATACAATTTATACAAGAGAAATTCACAATATAAACAAATTATCTCTGCATGCTGCATACATACTGGCAAGGCTTGTGCTGGTGTTCAAGGAGTGCTCCATGTACCTTCCATATCGTCTACATATCTTAGCAGAATACAGGATGGCAGAATTCGAAGGCACCTTAGAGGTCTTCTAGTCTAGGAGTCTTTCGGACCTCAGGGACCACTAAATTCATAATTTTAAATCCTGCAGAACACTAATACGATCTGCCTAATGACTAGCTGGGTAGGTGTGGCTAGGGAGTCATGTGACTGGGTGGGCATGGTCAACTTGATGTCACTCATGTCAAGGGGCGCCAGGCCGGCCTCTACTCGCCCCTCCCCTCCCAGCCACTCCTTGCCTGTCCGTGCGGGCTTCTTAGGACCCCAACAGGAAACAGTTACTGGAGCTAAGCAGCCAATGTTCCCTCTAAGGTGCGCGGCTGTGCACGTGGTTTCTAACTGCCGCGCAGTGATTTCTGTCACAGGCTCCGGAAGCTGAGGGGCCTCAGAAAATCTACTTAGCACGGGCGTGGGGACGGCGGCAGGAGCTTACGCGGCACAGCTGATCTCCTAGGACCTCCTAGGCACCGGCTGGTCCGCTCAATACCGTCAGTCCCCCCGTGTTCAGCAAAGCAAGCGCGGGAAATCTTTTGCAGGTGGCTAGAACTGACTACTGGTCCTCCCACAACTTCACTGTAAAAATGCAAGCCCCATTTTAAATTGTTAGGAAAAAAGACTGCGGAGAGGTCAATCCCCGAGTAACAAATTCAGTTACCATTAGGAGAGAAGCAACCTAGCACTGAGGAGGAATTTCCTGACAGTGAGTCCAATTAATCAGTGGAACAAGTTGACTCCAGCAGTTGTGAATGCCCCAACACTGGAAGTCTTTAAGAAGATGTTGGATAGCCATTTGGCTGAAACGGTATAAGGTTTCTTGCCTAGGCAGGGGGTTAGACTAGAAGACCTCCAAGGTCCCTTCCAACTCTCCACCCAAGTCCATATAAACCTCTTTGGATTCACCGACATATGACTAAGGTATGCACTGAAGGGAGCTAAGGGAGAGGAGCAGGCA